CTCTCTCTCTCTCTCTCTAAGGTGCTCATCCTGACCGTCCTGGCAGGAATCCGGGTGTACTCTCGGTATCGTCGTGCCCGGCCGCTGACCCGCGATGTGCTGACCCGTGACCCCTACTCCGTGCGGGGGGTGAGGAAGCTGATTGACGCCTGTGCCTTCCGGATCTATGGCCACTGGGTGAAGAAAGGCGAGCAGCAGAACCGGGCCGCGCTCTTCCAGAACTCGCCCAAGACCGTGCTGCTGGAGCTGGCCAGCCTGGAGGAGGCCGAGGGGGACTGAGCGGGGCCGTGCGGGGGAGACCGGGGGAGGAGAGGGAGCGCCGTCTCTCCCTCCCGCTCCTCCCATCCCGAGTCTGAGGGGCCCCGCCTCCGCGCCTGCCGTGGTGCGCCGAGCGCCCCGCATGTCTGTCGTCGTCGTGTTCCTGTGCCGACATCCCCACGGGGGGGTGGGTTTGGGGAGGGGGGAGGGGGGGGGCTTCGGTTGGTCTGGACTTGTCGCGATCCAATCCCCGTCCCTGCGCCGCTGGCTGAAGGGGAGATCGGGAACGGGCATCGATCTCCAGGAACTTTTTAAGGGGAAGCATTCCCAGATGGCGTTCTGGTGCGGCGTCTGTCGTGTGAGTGGAGGTCCCCCTCCAGGGCGTCCCACCCCTGCCTGGACACTGGCGTCCCACCCCACCCCTCTCACCCCCGCAGGCGAGCGCCAGTGTGGAGCCACAGCTTCCTTCCCTCGAGCCGGAGACCACCAGCCGGAGACCACTGGTTATCACATCGCTCTTGCCTGCAGCGGCCAGTCCTGGGGACCCCGAAGCCCGCCTGCTGGTCCTTGTCCCACCTGAGCGCCCCGTTAGTTATATCATTCAGTTAGGGAACAGACTCCATAGATTTAGGTTTAATTTAAACTCTTTTGTCTTCAGTTCCACGTAGGAGTCAGACACTGCACTGAGATACCTTTTAACTCCTGGGTGACTTACCAGTCTCCAGCCTCTGAGTAGAAGAATAAACTCGCACGTGGTTCCAGCCCAGTGACGGACTGGTTCAGTTAAGGTTCCTTTTTTCAGTCGAGGGCTCGGCTGCGATGAAAACCAGCAGGGGTGAGGACCAGAACTCGGGGCCCTGTCCGAGGGACCGTCTGTAATTTTTAATTTATTTTTAAATGTTTTGTTCCCAAACCTTAATTATTCCAAGTCCAAAAGCAACACAAATTCAGTGGCCCCGGGACCATTGCGGTTCCTGCCAGTACTGTGTTCTGGCTGCATTTCCGGACCTGGAGGACCTGGAGGACCTGGAGGGCAGTTCGTTTCGCACTTCGTGGGCGACCGTTTCCCAGCGTCTCGAGCTTACACAGCAGGCCCAAGACCAGAGACGCTTATGGAAGTGCTGAGCAGCTCGGAGGACAGGATGGCTCTCGCAGAACCATGAGTGGGTTGGGTTGCTAACGGCTAAAAGTGATCCGTGAGTCTCATGCAGCCGTTTCTTCAAATTTCTGTCGGGTGAGAACTTCGGAGCCTCTCAGCCTGTTGACTCTGGGGAAGAACTGGCTGCAGTGGACTCTCCCCGGGGGCGCCAGGCCAGCAGCCTCTGTCAGTGTGCTTGAGGCACCAGCAGCTCCAGACCCGTGCGCGACGCTGGTCCCAAGAGGTCTAGATTGAGCTGGCGCCACCCTCTTCCAGACGTCCTGCTCTGCTGAGGGTTTCGGGGGGGTCGGCCGAGCCCTCGAGGAGCACGTGGTGGGACACCTGAAAGTCTGAACCCCCCTCGGGCTGCGCTGCGTCGCAAGCCTCTGACACGGCTCTCTGACTTGAATGGATGGGTCAGTGCGGAAGAGCCGCAGGGCTGCATACATGTTATCCGCAGGCTGTGGGGGGATGGGGGGGCTTCCAGAGTTTGGGAAGTGGAGTCCTGGGGGTGTGGTGGCTGTGACTTCAGTTGTACCCCATCACACTGCCCCCTACACCCCTGATCCCTCCTCTCGCAGGGACAGCTGTCTCCGAGCGGGGCTCCCGTCCACACACCACTGTGGAAAGGACTGACTTTGTGCACAGGACATAGGGGCCGACCCTGTCCGCAGTAAGAGAGGGACACAGCCTTCACTCTTGAACTCTGAGGGCGGGGGGACTGACTGCTACAGGGCAGGTCATGTCATGCACAGAGAAGGGCGGTGCGGCGCTTTCCTGTTGAGTACTGTATACACCACTGCATCCTATGTACTGTACTTGATGTTTAAAACATTCATAAACAAGCTGGTGAGAAATATAGATTAACTTGTGGTTTACAAACCTGTGATTCTGGCATTTTCATTTGTCTTTCTTTTTGAGAGAGGGGTTAATACAGACACACTGACTGACTGGACACTCCAGTACATTAACACTGCACTGAGAGAGAGGGGTTAATACAGACACACTGACTGACTGGACACTCCAGTACATTAACACTGCACTGAGAGAGAGGGGTTCATACAGACACACTGACTGACTGGACACTCCAGT